ACACAGCAACTCCTGTGTTAAGTGTCTGCCCCCTGGTGATCAGTGTGTGTCAAAGTGACTAGTTAGATTTGGACACTTAGCATTAACATTTTATATATATATATAGATTGTGGTATATTGCTATTATTGTTACATTCATAAAGGAAAGAAAGATGAAGTTTCAGTTAAAGGTTAGTGAAGAAAAGAATCCATTTCCCCATGCGAGTCCACTCTTCCCTGAAATTGCAGAGGTGGTTCATGAACCCCACGTAAAACTAGACCTACAGCAGTTACATAGGATGAAGTAGATCTATAGGAATGGACATAGGAAAAACTTTTTTTTCCAAATATATTTTATTGATTTTTTTTACAGAGAGGAAGGGAGATAGAGAGTTAGAAACATCGATAAGAGAGAAACATTAATCAGCTGCCTTCTGCACACACACACCCCTGGGGATGTGCCTGCAACCAAGGCATATGTCCTTAACCTGAATCGAACCTGTGAATCTTCAGTCTGCAGGCCAACGCTCTATCCACTGAGCCCAACCAGTTTCAGTGGGAAAATCTTTAAGGCATTTTACAAAGTGAAAAAAGTAAGTTACTGAACAATACACTTGGTGTGACATTACATGTGTTTAGAAAGATTCACACATGCAAAAGCAACTCAATGGAGAAGAGTAGCCTTTTCAACAAATGGTGCTGGAGCAGTGAGACAGCCATAATCTAAAAAATGAACCTGGACTCAAAGCCCACACTTAAACTAAAAATGACCTCCAAATGGATTATGGACTTAATGTATAATATAATGCTATAATACTTTTATTAAAATTGTGATAACATTTTTAGAATCTAGGGTTAGGAAAAGGGTTTTCAGACTTGGCGCAAAGGGCTCAATCCATAAACTGAATTTGAACCAAAATTTTGCCTCTGTGAAAGATCATCTTAAGAGGATGGAAAGATGAGCTAAAGACTGTGAGAAAATATTTGCAAACCACCTACTTGACAAAGGACTGGTATCTAGAATAAATTAAAAACTCAGCAGTAAAAATTTAAACAATCCAATTGGAAGATGGACAAAATACATGAAGACACATTTTACCAAAGAAGTTTCACAGATGGAAAATAGCACATGAAAAGGTGCCATTAGAGAAATGCAAATTAAAACCACATGAGGTATCATTACACATCCAGCAACATGGCTAAAATAAAACATAGTGGCATCATCCAATATTGGTGAGAATGCAGAGAAACTGGATCATTCATACGCGATTGAGTGAATATTCCTGGATGTTCATTTAGGTTGTTTTGTATATCAATTGTCCATTCCTGTTTCATGGTATAGAAGCATCAGAGTTTAACCATTCCCTTTCTGAAGGACATTTCTAGATTTGAGACAATTACTAATAACTGCCACTATAAACACGGCATTCAGATTATTAGGTAGTCATAAGGTTTTTTTTTCCTCTGCAATAAATGTGCAGGATTGCAGCTGTTGGGTTGACTAGCAGTTGCCTGTTTAGTTTTATAAGAAACGGCCAAGCTGGTTTTCAGAGTGGCTGTTCCCTTTTCACATTCCTACCGGTCTCAGGAGTGATCCAGTTCCTAGAGCGTGTTTGAGTTGTACTCATAAGAAGAAAGTTATCCAGAGCTTTTGTTGTTGTTAAATTCTTTTTTAAAATCTTTATTGTTGAAAGTATTACATATCCTCCCTTCCCCCAGCTCCTTTGAAACCTTTTAGCCCTCCCCTCCATTGCCCCAAGACTTCACCACCCTAATGTCTGTGTCACGGTTTATCCAAATACACATACAAGTTCTTTGGTTGATCTCTTCCCACCTTTGCCCTCCCATCCCCACCATCCCTCTGAGATTTCATAGTCTGTTGAAGCAGTTTTTGTAATAGAATAGGCATCTCTAACAGCGGGTCACAGGAAATTTTCTATAAGAACAGCATTTGTCTCTTACCAGTTGGGCTGCTATAACAAAACACCACAGGCTGGTGGCTTATTTCTCAGTTCTGGAGGCTGAGAAGTCCAAGATCAGGGTGCCAGCATGATCAGGGGAGGACCTCTTACAGGAAGCCAAGTTCTGCTCACATGGGGGAAGGTGCTTGGGAGCTTTGTGATTTCCCTTTAAAAGATTATTATCATGTCCTAATAATCCCTCCTACCAATACCATCATCTTTGCCTGTGAAGACATCAATATATCAATGGGACAAGCACACCAACCACAGCAGTACAAAAGTCATGAATGACCCAGCTCCTCTTCCAAGGTGCCCTCCTGAATTGCTATGCTGGCAAATGGAAAAGTATCTTTGGAGAATAACAGACCTTTCAAGACTTTGCTTACTATTTGATAGTGCTCCCAGACATCCTCCTTTTATTGGTGATTTCACCCCAATATCAAGTAGTGTTTCTCCCTCCAAATGTCACTCTTTGGTCCAGGCAACAGATCAAGGAATTATAGTAGCTCTTAAGGACCTTTGAGGAAGACACTGATACAACGCCTATGACTGTATCAAGAACTTTGCTTGGACTTGGGGTGATATCACCAAGGATTGTATGACTGGCATCTGGAAGACACCCATGACTTCAAAGGATTTGCTAAGGATGACGAGGTTGCAAAAATCCACAAGACAGCAATTAAGATGGCAAATAACCTTCACCTGGGTTGGGGGAGGTTGACATTGAGAGTGATATTGAGGTGGTTCCTAGGAACTGATTAATGAGGACTTGTTGGAACTGAAACAGGAACTAATGGCTGAAGAAGAGAAAAGGGAACTACAGGAGAAGAAAATGAAGACGAACCCCCAAAATTCACAGTGAAGATTTTAACAAGCTTTTCAGAGCCCAACAAGCCCCTTAGCAGATTTAAAAACATGGACCCGAACTCTGTATTGTTTTCATAGAGAGAAATGTTCATGATGCATTATCTGCTTACAAGCAAATCTATGATTTTAAAAAAAAAGAAGCAAACAAACCAAACAAGGCATCAAGGCATATTTTTGAAATGACTGGCACCTCCTCAAGAAGAGCATCAGACAGGTCCTTCAGGAGGTTATTCCAGAAGAAGTCATTGCTATCAGCCCCATATGTTATTGACCTGAAGACCTTCCAGTGGGATGAGGTGAGGAGGTGGTAGAAAGTGATATTGATAACCCTGACTGTAGACGGGGGGTGGGGAACATCATGCTAAGGGCGGTAGAAGGCCCACGAAATCATTTGGTCTGGCCCTGCCAAGGTATTAGGAGTGAGTTCATTAAATGTTAGACCAAGCCGAAACCGGTTTGGCTCAGTGGATAGAGCGTCAGCCTGCGGACTGAAAGGTCCCAGGTTCGATTCCGGTCAAGGGCATGTACCTTGGTTGTGGGTACATCCCCAGTAGGGGGTGTGCAAGAGGCAGCTGATCGATGATTCTCTCTCATCGATGTTTCTAACTCTATCCCTCTCTCTTCCTCTCTGTAAAAAATAAATAAAATTTTTTTTAAATGTTAGACCAAATACAGCAGGCAATTTTTAAGTTGATAATTGTGTATGGGCCGAGAATGATGTCAAAATATCCAAATGGCTATTGGCAGAAAAAAGGCTCCCCAACCCTAATGTAGACCCAGGGTAATGTGTGTGTTTCTGTCTTAGTCTTTAATAAGAAAAATTAAAAAGCAAAGAAAACAAATAAACAGAAAAAACTTACAGAATAAAGATATAAAAAAAGAATATATTTTTGTATAGCTGTACAATGTGTGTTTTAAGCTAAGTGTTGTTAAAAAGACTAGAAAAGTTAAAGTTCTTTTTAAAAGTTTACAAAGTAAAAGTTACAGTAAACTAACGTTAAATGAGCACTGAGGGAAAATGAATTAGTGTAGTCCGAGTGGGCAGTGTTGTGTATGTACAGTAGCGGGCAGCAGTGTCCCAGGCCTTCACTCCATCAACTCTCACTCACTGACCCCCTTGGGCAACTTCCAGTCCTACAAGTTCCATTCATCGTAAGTCCCCTATGTAGGTGAGCCAATTTTATCTTTTTATACAATATTCTTACTGGACCTTTCCTAGGTTTAGAAAACATAAAAAAACCACCGTGTTATAATTGCTACAATATTCAATACAGAAATACGCTATCCAGGTTTGCAGCCAAGGAGCAATAGGCTACAGGTTTGCAGCCTAGGTGTGTAGTACAGGCGGCATCGTCTCTGTGTGAGGCCCGCACAGGATGGAATCACCTAACAATGTGTCCCTATGGTTAAGAAATTAATTGGTAAAGGAAGAAATACAATTTAATAACAGACTATGGACACCAGAGAGAGTTTGTAAACAACCTAGATGTGAGAACAGAAGGAGAAATAATCACGCTGACAAAGAAAGAAAAGAGAAAAAGCCAGGCAGAAATGTAATGAAAGAGAGAGGCTGGAAACCCCCAGTACCAACTCCAGGCAGATCTTTGTACGGGCACCTATGCCAAGGTACCTTGGAAGATAAGGAAACGTGTATCTTTGGTTCATTCCTAGAGTGCAAAAGAAAAACCAACACAGGCAGAAAAGACAAACAGATGTCCAGAAAAAAAATAAACAAGCAGTTGTGTAAGGCTGGTTAGGGCAGAGCCAGTGCTGGCACCTCGGGACAGGCAGGCCAAGTCCTCAGCCAGCATCCCACTGGGCCAGCGTCCAGCAATGATGTTCGGAAACTCACTCTGAACGGGGAAGCCCAGCCGCTCACCATTCCTCAGCCAGGCTCATAAAAGCGGCCATGGAGGTGCAAACACCGCTGTCCAAGGTGGACAACACGCTGTCAGCTGGCAGGGGACAGCGGAAGGCAAGCCCAGCGCCAGCACGGAGGCCCCATTGCAGGTGAGCAGTGAGGGGAGAGGGGCTGAGGGAGGAGGGGGCTCAGGGCCCTCAGCCTCTCTCCCCCTGCGGGTGCTCCTAGCCGGCCCCCTGACACCCTCCCCTGCCAGTGGAGCAGGAGCAGGGGCTGGGCCCGGGCCTTCCCCTCGGCCTGCCCGACGCCCCTGGCTTTGTGCAGGAGCAGAGATGAGACCCCGTGGTGCAGCCGCGGTGACCGTGGGGCTGTGGGTCCTGGTGACCGTGCACGTGGCGGTGGACCCCGCTGTGACTGAACCCAGGCGCTGCTCCCTCTCTCACTACCGCTGGTTGGACCCCAGGGCGCTGGAGGCGGTCAGGGCGCTGAGGGACCACTACGTGAGTGACTCCCACACCCCAGTCCCAGGGACGCTGGTCCTGCGGGGTCGGGATCCTGGTCCCCATCCCCAGGGGCCTGGCATCTTGGCTTCAAGCAGGCGCATGTTGGACCTCAGGGTCTCAGTTCTGACCAGAGGCACCTGAGCTCAGACAGCGCCTAAAGGCACCCCCAGGCGGACCATTCGCTAAGGGCGCCCCCAGGCGGACCCGCTCCTGTCCGGGTGTGCGCTCCGCAGGGGTGCAAGTCACTCCCCTTTGGTCCTCAGCGGGCTCTGTGGCTCCGCGCACAGCACGCGCGTCCATCCTGGACCGGCAGGGGATTCCGGGCAGGGATCCCTAGCTGCCCGCGCCTCAGGCACAGGCGAGGGCACAGCCTCAGCCCCTCATTGTGCCGCCAGGAGGAAGAGACGCGGAGCTGGAGGCCTTGGAACTGCTCCTTCCGCCCGCGGAGGGACCCCCGGCTGCCCGGGGTGAGGCCGCGGGGCGCGGGGCGGTGGGGGCGGGCGGGCCGGGCCCGGTGGCGGCGTCTCTAACTCGCCGGGTCCCCGCAGTCGTGCGCGGGGCTCCGCCTGGTGGCCCGGGGCCTCTCGGACGCCCAGGCCGTGCTGAGCAGCCTGCCCAGCCCCGAGCTGTTTCCCGGCGTCGCCCCCACCCTGGAGCTGCTGGCGTCGGCGCGGAGGGACGTGGAGGCCTGCGTGAGTGTCCCCGCCGCGTGTCTGCGCCCCGCCCGCAGCCGGGCCGCCGCTCTCCTCTGTGCGCGGAGCCCACCGTCCAGGCACAGTCCGCGTCCCGCTGGGGTCCGAGGGCGGGGCTGGGGCACGTGGGCCGGGCCGGTGGGAGACGGTGCCTGGGCTCCTTCGTTTACCTCCTGTGCCCCCTGCAGCTCCAGCTGGTGCGGCCAGGCTCCTCGAGGAAGGGTCCGCGGGCACCCAGGAGGCGTCCGCACCGACGGAGAGCAGTGAGTGCGCGGGGAGGGGCGGTTTGGGCAGGGCGGGGTGTGGTGGGTGGGGTGCGGTGGGTGGGACTGGGTGGGTGGGGTGCGGTGCCCTGGAGCAGCTGGGACCCCGGAGGGGGAAATGGCTACCTCAGCCCCGCTTCGCCTCCTTCCCGGGTGCCAGGACTCGCCTGGGTGCCATGAAGCCACCATCATCTTCAACCTCCTGCGCCTGCTCGCGTGGGACCTGAAGCTGGCGGCCCGCTCCGGGCCTTGCCTCTGAGCGCGGCTGCGGAGGGACCGCGGGCTGCTGGCGCGCTCAGGCCGGGTTGCGCTCCCTGGGGCCCGGGCAGGGCTGCAGCCAGTGGGCGCGGGCGCTCAGGAGGCTCTGCGGCCTTGGCCGCAACTGGATGGCCGCGCAGCGTGCGCCCTGGAGCGCGGGGACAGGACCCGAGAGGACAGCGCGTCCCTGGCAGCAGGGACGGTTCTGCGGAGAGCCTCGCCCTGAGACCCTCCAGGTTTGTGCGGCAGGAGAGACTGGAGAGACTGGAGTCCTGAGTCCACGGGGGCGCGGACCACGCACCGTGGACAAGGCTCTACTTCCCTGGGCACCAGCAGCTCAGAACCAGTGTCCATGCCGTTCCCACGCCCTGTTTGAGCCCTCAGCGTCTCCTGTGAGATTCTGTGAATCTGTGACGCTGCATCTCTCCACTGGGGAGGCCTCTGCCCTAAGGGACTTGGTAGTGAAAGAGCCTGGAGTCCTTAGGTTACTGCAGTATTTTGAATTCTGTTACCTGTGTGTCTTTTGTATTTGAAATCCCTGAGCAATGGGCTACTCTGTCTTTCATCATTAAATATTCTTGCATCTACACTGGCTGTTCCCCTGTGATCACTCTGAGCGGCACTTTTTGGTTAAAAACGCCTAGCCAGGGCCATCAGGTGACTTGTGTTCAACTCTGACCCTGCCACTAGCAGGGTGTGACTGGGCAAGTTACTTCTCTGTGGCCTCAGTTTCCTCATCTGTACAAAGGCCTCATTATCCTTCCTTTGGGGATTAGTCGTGTACATTGAAGCAGCACCTATAAAGCTTCCAGTGGAGGCTTAGGGTGGTCTCAATCAGCGGCCTCTATTAAATAACCACACACAGCTCCTTACACAGACGAGTGCACTTCTTCATTTGTCCAACCTGTGGGCTAGAGGTCTTTGCTGCCAACTGCAGGGCTCTTTGTCAAGGTCACACAGCTAGTGAGGGCAGAGCCAGGTTTGAATCCCAGACCCTTTAACTCCATGCTGCATGCTCTTTATAAAAAATAAATAATATATATATATATATAATCTTTAGCCTTAGTGGGCTTTGCTCAGTGGATAGATTGTCAGTCTGTGGAATGGGGGGTCCTGGATTGATTTTTGTCAAGGGAATTCTCTCCCTCCCCAGGGGGGACTCAATGCAGGAGGCAGCTAATCAATGATTCTCTCTCAATATTGATGTTTTTATCTCTCTCCCTCTCCCTTCCTCTCTGAAATCAATAAAAATATATTGTAAATTAGACATAATTAAAAAGATTGTTTTTTATTGATTTGAGCAAGAGAGAAAAGTAGAGGGAGGGAGGGAGGGAGGGAGGGAGGGAGAGAGAGAGAGAGAAAGAGAGAGAGAGAGAGAGAGAGGGAGAGAAACATCAATGGTTAGAGAATCATAGACCAGCTGCTTTCTGCATGGCCTCTACTGGAGACCAAGCACACAATCTGGGCATGTGCCTGACCAGGGATCCAACCCTGACCTCCTGTTTCATAGGTTGATGCTCAATTGTTGAGCCACACTGCCAAAGCAGGCTACCCTCCCCCCCCCCCCCACCGACCACACCCACACCCACACCCCACACCCCTCCCTGCTCCCTTGCAGAGACTCCTATGACTGGTGCCTCTGATCTGGACATTTGAGATGTTTGTCAGCTCCCCTCCTCCCCCCCTCTTTCTCGGTACCCGGTGGGGAGGGAGGGAAGAGCTGGTCTCCTCTCTTAACTCTGGGCAGCTTTGTCCTGCTGACTCTCTCCCCCACCACCCCTCCCGCCCGCAGCAGCCTGCTCCCTTCATCTCCCCCCTCCCCTACAGCCTCCTTCTCAGAAGTTCCAGGTTCTTGGTGGCCACAGCCCTGGAGGGCCTCCCCCTCTGCCTGCAGGGGTGTCCTGCGGAGAGGCAGCCCCTCCTGTGGGGCTGAGGCTGCCCTTCTGCTGAGACCCGGTTGGGACCTCACCTCCTGTAGGTGAGCCTGAGTGTGTGTCACTTTCTGTTTCGCTCCAGCTGCTCACCTGGCTCCAGGCCCCGCCCTGCACGGGCTTCCCCAGCCTGGGGCCTCCCCTAGTGGCAGGTGTGTTTTCACTTTTCCTACATCAGCTGGGATTGCCCGCCTGTGCAGCCCAAAAGCCGCACCATGGAGCGCAGGGAGCAATTGCATCAGAGCCGACCTGCGAGTTCAGCGACACACACTGAGCAGCGGCTGGGACCTGGAAGAGGAGACCCAGGCCAAAGACACCAAACAGGGCTGAGTGAGCTCCAGGGACAGCCTGTGAGAGGACACTTGGATCCCCGCCTGGGACAGAGACCAGAGACCAGAGACCAGAGACCAGGATGAAGCTGGGTGAGCCTCCATGTCATTGTCCATGACCCTCACTCCCCACACCCCCCACCCTCAGCCCCTGACTCTCTGTCCCCTCTTCTGCCCATCCTTCCCTAACAGCCCTGGCCGGGTGTTGCCCGCTGGTGCTGATGCTGATGAGCACGGTGCTGACCAGCACAGGAGCAGTTCCCATCCCCACGCCCCTCAGGACCCTCCTGGGTGCAAGGGGCTGCCACGTGGCCCAGTTCAAGTCTCTGTCCCCACAAGAAATGAAGGCCTTCAGGAGGGCCAAGCACGCCTTGGTGAGTCCGTGTCCTCCCCGCCCCCCCAGCCCCAATCTCGGCTCCACCACCCCCCGCTGTGGACGAACCCCCACCCTTCCCTCTGTGGGTCACAGGCCCATTTGGCTCCAGGTGGCCCTGCACCCTTCCTTCCCCGGCTGGCCTCCGCCCTTCGCACAGTGGCCTCCCCTGCTCTGGCTGCTGTGGGCTGACTCTTGTTCTGCACTGGAGATGCCTCTCCCTTCTTTGGGACCTTAGCCCCCTGCTCCTGTTGCTAGCCATCCTCCACCCCCTGCAGGGGTCACCCTCCAGCCCTGCAGCTGTGGCTGACCTCTGCCCTTGCTCTCCAGGAAGAGTCCCTCCTGCTGAGGCACCGGAGCTGCAGCTCCCACCCATTCCCCAGGACCTGGGACCTGAGGCAGCTGCAGGTGAGTTGGGAGACTCAAGCCAGCCCTGCCCTCACCTGGCCCCGCTCCCCTGGCTTCTTAGGTGGCCCTGTCACCTCCTCCTCCTCACTGTTCTCTGTGCAGCAGGCCCCTGACCTCTTCTCCTCACCTGCTCACAGTGACCTTCCCTCTCTACTCTCCTCTCCCCTCCCCCTGGTCCTCCCTCTGCCCTCCTCCCCTGTCCTCTCTCACATGCAGCCCTCAGCTGTCTGTCTCCCCTGCTCAGGTGTGGGAGCGCCCTGTGGCCTTGGAGGCTGAGCTGGCCCTGACACGGAGGGTCCTGGGTGCCGTGGCTAACTCGACCCTGGGGGACGTCCTGGACCAGCCCCTTCTCACGCTGCGCCATATCCACTCCAAGCTTCAGGCCTGTGTGAGTGCCCTGGGCTCCCGGGCCATGTTTGTGGGCTCTGACCACCCCTGTGTGCCCCTGTGTCTGAGACCCTGTTCACTCACCACCCTCCTTTGCCCACAGGTCCCAGCTGAGTCCACAGGCCCCAGGCCCCTGGGCCGCCTCCACCAATGGCTGCACCGCCTCCAGGAGGCTGAGAAGAAGGTGAGCGACTGGGGAGGGACCAGTTTCTGGGGACAACGTGGGGCCCAGATGGTGAACAACCACTGAGCTGTCCTTTCCTCTCCACAGGAATCCCGTGGCTGCCTTGAAGCCTCTGTCACATCCAACCTCTTCCGCCTCCTGGCCCGTGACCTGAAATGTGTGGCTGACGGAGACCTGTGTGTGTGACTCTGAGGCCCACCTGCCCCTGTCCCAGCACCTTGGTTTATTTATGCACCCCCACCTTTCTTAATTTATTGCAACCCCACCACTATTTATGCATTTTTGTGTGTGAATTGTCAAACTCGCACCCGATAAAGTATTTATTTTTCTACTTTTTGTAAGAATTGTTCAAATAAATGATAAGAAAAAGATGTGTCCTGTGCTGTGGGATCACGTGTCTGATTGTGCGGATCAGTTTCCTCTCGCCGCCATAACAACGGATCCCAAGCTTAGCATCTGCCAACCACCAAGTTTAGGATCTCACAGTTCCAGGGAGGAGAGTGCAGGGGGCCCAGCCTCTCTCCACCGGGGGTGGCACAGGGCTGCAGTCCAGTGTGGCTGGTGGGACTCTCCTAGGGAGGCCTTGGCAGGACAGGCCCCCCTCCAAGCTCAGCAGAATTCTCCTCCCTCCTGCAGTGGTGGCACTGAGGTTCCCGTGCCGCTGCAGAGAGCGTCCATCCCCAGCTCCTGCCAGCCTCTCGCAGGCCCTGGCACATGGACCTCCATCTCGGAGCCCACAGCCACGGGTCACATGCTTCTGGCGCCTGGCATCCCTCTGCCTATCCTTCCGCCACGTTTCCCTTCTGCCTGCAGCTGGAGAAAGTGCTCTGCTTTTAAGGACTCGGTGTTTAGACGGGGCTCACAGACAATCCAGGACAACCTCTCTCTTTTAACATCTGTAAAGCTCAGTTTCCTCTGCGAGGTCCTTTCTCCTGTCACATAAGAGACTCACAGTTCTAGGCATTTGGCTGTGAGGTTGGGGCCTCTATTTTCCCACCACAGTCCGTGTGTGATTGCTGCGTGTGTGCTTTCTTTGAGGGTATGTGAGTGGAGATGCATTCTGTTGTATGTAAATCACATGAAAATAAATGTGCCTTAATGACAACATTCATCCTTGCACGTGATGAGAAGTCTAGCCAGCAGGTCCATGCAGAGCTGCGTTGTTTAACGTGCTCCACATGCAACGTGCAGCTCAGCACTGAAATGTAGCTGTGAAGGCTGAGCTGTGCTCTACTATAAAATAGACCCTGCAATTGGAATATATTTTATTTTTAAAAAATGTTTAGATGGTGCCTGCCAAGTCTCTCCACTGTAGATTTACTATTTTTCTCTTTATACTAAATATGTGGAGGGACTTTGGGACTATGCAAATACCTGTTACTTCTCAAACTTCAACCATTCAATTTAGTATTGTGATTCTCTCTAGGAGATTCATAGGAATTATTTAGGTCTGAGGTAGTGTGATGCCTGCAACTTACTTTCAAGTGGGAGAGAGAGATAAAGAGAGGCAAAACGTTAACACTGGTGAATCTAGGTGAAGGGGATATGAGTGCTCACATTAACTTTTCTGCAAGAGTGAAAAATTTTGAAATAAAAAATTGGGAGTAAGTCAATAAGTATTTCTTTTCAAACCTTCTACCATGTTCCAAAAGTTACATTATTTTTTGTTTCTTGGAGTATTATCCAGGAATACATTCAATAATTCATTCAACACTTGTTGAGTGTCTATTGTGAGCTAAGCACTGGGTAAGAAAACAATGGTGAGCAAAACACAAAAAAACCTTGTTCTCAGAGGTTCCAGTCAAGATGGTGGCACAGGTAAGTGAGGGACATGCCATCTCCTACAACCACACTAAAATACGTAACAACAATCATTCAGAGTTATCTGAAATCTAGCTGAATAGAAGTCCTAAAACTAGGAAATTAAAGAAGAAGCACATGGAGACCTTGGGGCAGATATGAGGGGCAGAGACTCAGGGCGGAATGGAGGAACGAAGTGGTCTCACACCCAAATGTGGCCGTTTAAAATAGGGAGGGGTATCATAGCTGTGGAGGCTTCCCTAAGGAGGGAGGGGTCTCAATCCCACATTAGGATTCCAGTACTGAAAAGAGAAATCCCTGCAACTTCTGGCTGTAAAAACCATCAAGGATTGTAGCTGAGAGACACAGAGGATGCTGGAACCCAGGCAGTTCCTCTTAAGGGCTGGGAGTGCACAGATTGATTCGGAGTCACTCCCTCTGATCTCCAGCCCTGGGGAAGCAGCTTGACAGGAGCTTGGACAGGTCTGGAATCAGGGCAAGAGCTGGAGGGCTAGCTTTCTCCCAGAGAGAAGTACTGGCAGAGGCCCTCCCCACCACAGAGCCAGCAGGTGGGCACAATATCTAAATCTCCACCAACCTGGCTCACAGTTTTCACCCCACTCTGATGATTCCCTGAGACCCCACCCCTCCCTACTTGCAGGCTCATCCAAGTCATTCCCAGTGGCTTTTCCATACAATTGGCCTCTCTTGCTTCATGCTTTGGATTTTTCTAAAATATCTCAAACAAGCATCAGTTGGCATCACCATGTCTCATACCTCACAATAAGTGGCCCCAGACCCAGCACTAGCCACAGCCCACCTTGGTTCATAGGTTGGTGTCTTCTGGGCACTTCCAAGCCCAACACAAGTGGTGGCCATGTGCAGATTGCTTTGTAGCTAATGCTGGATGGCCCTGGGCAAGGTATAGGCAGTGGCTGACTTTGCACCTCCCTGGAGGCTCCAGAACCAGTGTTCCCGGTGGTCAGTTTCAACCACACTGGATTACAACCCTACCACCTCCACAATAGACACATTCAAGGGGTGGACTCAGTAAGCACCAAAGCCCCACTGAAGCAAGTCTTGCTCTATAGCACATGTGTCAAACACAAGGCCCGCGGGCCAAATCCGTCCCGCCAGGCCTTGCAATGTGGCCCGCACCACGCTGTCATCACTGCACTCTGCTGCGTTTCCATCACAATGACAGTTTATGACTGTTCAGTAAACCATTCGGCCCGCGATTTAGGCTGGATTTTCGATTTTGGCCCCTTCTCTGATTGAGTTCGACACCCCTACTCTATAGGGTTGGCTTCTGCACAGCATCTCTCACTGTAGTCACAGCTGGTTCTCACAGCTAATTGGCCTGGGTGGGGGTCAATCCCTTCCAGTGATGCCAATAGCAATGAAGGCTCAACTACAACAAGACAGTGCACACAGTCCACAGAAGGGCACCCCTGGAACACCTAGCTCAGGTGCCTGGGGAGGCTGAGCCATTGGGCCTATAGTACACCTACTACACAAGGCCGCTCTATCAAGTGTGGGAGACATAGCAGATCTACCTAATACATAGAACAAGCACAGAGAAACAGCCAAAATACAGAGACAAAGAAGCATGTCACAGCCTAGCGAGCATGGTTCAGTGGTTGAGTGTGGACCTGTGAACCAGAGCTTGTGGTCAGATCCAGATTGTGACTCTGTACCCCAGTGTGGGGCATGCAGGAGGCAGTCAATTGATTCTCTTTCATCACTGATGTTCTTGTCTCTCTCTCCCTCTCCATTCCTCTATGAAATCAGAAAAATAAATAAATAAATAAATAAATAAATAAATAAATAAATAATTTTTAAAAATTAAGAAGCATCTCACAAAGAAAGAACAGGAGGAATCTCCAGAAACTTAACTAAATGAAATGGAAGCAAGCAAATAACAGATACAGAATTCAAAACACTGGTTTTAAGGATGCTCAAGAACTTAGAGAATTTCAAAGAACATAGTAAGAACATCAACAACATAAAAAAGGACCAGTCAGAAATGAAGGATAGACTAACTGAAATAAAGAATAATTTACAGGGAATAAACAATACCCCAATCAGAAGAGCAAAAAGAAAAAAGAATCCAAATATATGGAGCTGGTATAAGGAGCTTCTGGGACAACTTCAAGCATCCCAACATTTGTATCATGGGGGCTCCAGAAAGAGAAGAGGGAGCAAGAAATTAAAAACCTATTTGAAGAAATAATGACAGAAAACTTTCTTTACCGGTGAGAGAAATAGAATTATAAGTCCAGGAAGCACAAAGAGTCCCAAAGAAGATGAACTCAAAGAGGCCTACCGGTACACATCATAATTTAAATGCCAAAGGTTAAAGACAAAGAAAGAATCTTAAAGGCAGTAAGAGAAAAACAGTTAGCTATCTACAAGGGAGCACCCATAGGACTTCAACTCACTTCTCAACAGAAACTTTGCAGACCAAAAGAGAGTTGCAAGGAATATTCAAAGTGATGAAAAGCAAGGACCTATAACAAGATTACTCTACCCAGCAAAGCTCTCATTTAGAATTGAAGATCAGATGAAGAGCTTCCCAGATAAGAAAAAGCTAAAGAGTTCATCACCATCAAACCAAAATTACATAAAATGTTGAAGGGTCTTCTTTAAGAAGAAGAAAAAGGGGGGGAAAATCAAGAATAGGAATAATAAAATGGCAATAAATACATATCTATTAACAATTCAATCTAAAAATCAAAATAAGCACAAAAGCAGAACAGAAACAGACTCAATACAGAGAACATTTTTTTACATTTTTTTAATTAAATTATTATCTGTGTACATATTTTAACATTGCCCCCCCTCCCATAGATACCCTCCCTCCCCAGAGTTTTGTGTCCATTGGTTGTACTTATAGGAATGTATACAAGTCCTTCGGTTGATCTATTATCTCCCCCAGATCTTCCTACCCTACCTGCTGTAATTTGACAGTCAGCTTGTTGCTTTTCTGTCTCTATATCTATCTTTTGGTCCATCAGTTTATAATGTTCTTTATTATCCATAAATGAGTGAGGTCATGTGGTGTTTCTCTTTCATTGACTGGCTTATTTCACTCAGCATGATGTTCTCCAATTCCATCCAGGTTGCTGCAAATGATGAGAATTCCTTCTTTTTGTGGCAGCATAGTATTCCATTGTGTAGATGTACCATAGTTTTTTGATCCAATCATCTGCTGACGGGCACCTAAGCTATTCCCAAATTCTGGCTATTGTAGATTGTGCTGCTATGAACATAGGGGTGCATATATCATTTCTAATTGGTGTTTCTAGTTTCTTGGGATATATTCCTAGGAGTGGGATTACTGGGTCAAATGGGAGTTCCATTTTCAGTTTTTTGAGGAAACTCCACACTGTTCTTCACAGTGGTTACACCAGTCTGCATTCCCACCAGCAGTATATGAGGGTTCCTTTTTCTCCTTAACCTCGCCAACACTTGTCGTTTGTTGACTTGTTGATGTTGGCCATTCTGACAGGTGTGAGATGGTACCACATTGTTGTTTTGATTTGCATCTCTCGGATAACTAGTGACT